CCCCAAAACCCCAAAACCCCAAAACCCCAAAACCCCGAGAAAATCCCCGAAAATTGTATTTCAACATAAAACATGAGGGGCCGAGAACTCTGCTAGAAATGGAAGCTCTCTTGCTGATCTTCAGACTCCATCATCGAGCTCTTCTTTGAAGACTCTATATATTCCTGGTTGCTCTTATCCAACTGGAAATTAGGTGACCTGGATGATTGAGCTATGGAACTTTTATCACTGATCGACTTCGCCCCACCGAACTTTGGAGCAGACACAAATGTATAGGCCTCACTTGAGGCTGATATTTGAGATGCAGGACTTCCTCTGAAGATATTCTGAGGGCCTTTATTGGTCTCCTTTCTCCAAAGATCTTGGTTAAGTGATATTTGGCTGCCTTCTCCAAGATTAGCAATTGCTTCAGCATCATTTTTGTTTGAATAAAGGGTGAATGCTATGAAAGTTAACACCAGTATTTACCATCACTTTTCCGTATTTGATGACGTTTCAAAGTATCTATTGATATATTGCTAGCCCTTTTCGAATTCTCTGTCTCTTGAAAAGCTTGCAAGGGAGTGTAGACAGTAGATGCCTTACTCTGAGTGACACTCGAAGGCAGAGAAGAATCTGATTCAGATTCTTCCTTACTGTTAGTCCTAAGCTTTACCTCTTCTTTGGCATTTTCCTGTTCTTCATTTGATTTATCACCCCCAGATCTCTCGATCTCAATAGATTTACTGGCTTCGACAGACTTGCTAGCATCGTTTGAGATGGTATTGGAGAAAGATTTATTATCGGTAGCTGACTTATCCAAGTCATCCTCATCATTATCATCCTCTGGCAACTCAGCAATTTTATTTTAACTGCATTGTGAAGTAAGACGTCTTGTAAAACTGGCCCATACGTCTCTTGCTACCCTTATTTTGTCTTGGGCTGCTTCGCTTCCTAGTTTTTACAGCTAAAAATTCAGGAGTTGTCTATTAAGAATAAGGCCTATCTTACCTTCTTCTTTGAGCTCCTCTTAAGTAAACTAGCTATAAAAGTCAGGCCAAACTTTACTGTTAGCAAGGTCCTCTCCAAGAGAGCTACTGCTCTTCTTTGAAGAGAGTCCTGATTTTATCGACCCCATGTTTTCGTTGTTGAAGGAAAACATGTCTGATCTCCTTTGGAAGATGTTCTTGTCAGATTCTACAATCAATTAACATATTCTTACTTCCAATCTTGCTGATCCGAAACTGCAATGATTCTGAACCCCGAGATCCAGCAAAGGACATCTCCTGGGCGGACCTTTTTGATGACAAGGATGGGAAATCAGGAGAACTTAGCGTATCCCTGATTCTCCGATCACGGACAGATTTCAAGGTTTCAAATACTCGATCTGTGGAATTTCCTACGATTCAAAAGTGGCTTACCTTGTTCTTCGCTTGATTTCTGAGACCCTTCAGACTTACTGATAATCTTCTGAAGAAAGTGTTCGTTTCCGTCTTGGAAAACTACAAAATAAGGTTCAAGAGATTACTTTCAGAGTTATTAGAGAATCGTTTGTCTACCTGATCAAGAGTAGGATCTTCTTGGTCATTCCTTAATACAAGTAAGAGCCCTATAGCTTATTCCTGGTGCATACTTTTCTTGCGGAGGAAGTCTAGTTTCTTAACACTAGTGTCATCCTGCGGGCTGTACTCTAAAAGACGAGTTAATGCCTAATTATGTAGCTTTGAATATTTCAAATAAAAAGGTATCAACTTCTTCAATACTATTTTAGATCTGGGTGTTCAAAGCATTTCAAGGAGATTTATCAGCTGAGATGGAGAGAGACTTGCCCTGATCTTCTAACGGTTTCTCAGAAGTTTCATCCCTGCCTGTATTGGTAAGTGTAAAGACGAACCGTTGTCGAGCTCTTCATATGATAAATTAGCTTTAGTGCGCTTGAGCTGGAAACTGAAGCTGTTCTTATTTACTATATTATGGATAAACTACGAATAAATGGCAAGAATAAGAATAGCTGAAATTTGTAATCCCTGGTTTGGTACACCTGCAGGATCGTATTCAATGCTTACCACACGATTAGAATGATACTGATCTGGATCATCCCAATGGCAAAGGTTATCGAGATTATTATAGCCATTAAGACTGTACCTGCAAGAATTCCCATCAACAGTTGCAGGAATATCATAACCAATAAACCACCTTCCAGGAATAATATCAATGATTTAAGCTTGAAAAAGGCTCATCCAACTCTCAGAACTTTGCTGTCTAAACCAATGTATCAGACCCCAAAGCATAAACTCCCCAGCCTAGACCACCCCTCTCCTCTTCCGTTTACCTCTACTCGCCTCCCTCTGTGCAGTGGTCTTCCTCCCCCCAATCTTAGTCATCTTGGAAGTCTCAATCTCTCTGCCTTCTACTTCACTGTGTACTTCACTGTTGTCTTCGCTGCGTCTCTTCTCCATCGTTGTATTATAAATTTGTTCTATACTAGAGATTTTGAAAGGGGTTTTGGGGTTTTGGGGTTTTGGGGTTTTGGGGTTTTGGGG